GCGTTCTCAAATACGCCAGGGACGAAACCGAACTGGCCTTATCCAAGACCAATTCCAGCCGTTGCTGTATCGACTGCTGGAATACTCGCTGCAGGAACTTGCAAAGCACCTGTTCGTAGTAAGGAAAAGCTCGCTTTATGATAGCCGATTCCTCCTGGACAACAACCTGGACCTCGTCGACCAGCGACTGCAGACTGGGTTCCACTCCAGGAGACGGAGCATCAGGGTCAGCGAGCTGTTCCCAGGCCTCTGAGTCTCCGCTTACTTCTTCCGATATCAGTTGACTGCGGTCGATAAAGAATTGGTGCTGGTTGACAAAGAGAGCAATGACAGAGGCTCCTCCGTTGAAATCCTGCAGAACACTGGCGCAGTCCTTCATGCCCTCAAAGTTGGCCTTTCGGTAGAAGTGGTCAAACTGCTTCAACAAGTCCTTCTCCAGAGTTTCAGAGAACTTCTCAATGATCTCCCGCGTGTTCCTCCTCTTGGGTGTATTCCCGTTTGTCCCCGCATGGTCATCAGGGCTCGGTGGTATGGTATCTGTGCCTCCATTGCTCTCACTCCAGCTCAACGGGTCCAGTCTCTGGCTTATTCGTAGCAGTTGCCTGGCAATGCGCGCAGAACGCACTTTTCCCTCTGCGCTTCCTGACCGTCGCAGGTTCTCGAGCATCGTGAGCTCCCCGCGGTTACTCACTTCGTCCCAGCATCCAATGAGAAAATGCGCATCGAGAGCCTTGCGTCTCTGCCGGTCGAGCTCTTCGAGCTTCTTCCCTGTCTCGACGGCAACATTGCCATTCCCACCCGGTCCATCTCGCGTAGAAGGCCGACGGGGCCCGTTCAGGGAGGTATTTAGCTTCTGAAAGGACTCGATGGCCTGGTTCAGCTTCCAGCCCAGGTTGCTCGCGTTCTGTGTATGCTGCGCTTCGGCCTTCCGGACAGCCGCAGACAGCTCGTTCTCACGCTGCTCAAGGTCGCCTGAGAGCTCCGTTAGGCGGCGCTGCGCATGCTCGAAGGCGCGGATCAGGGGCTTGGGGTCGAAGGGCTGGTTGCCGATGCCACCGGAGCGGCGCTGGATGGCGGCGTCGGACAGGGACTCGATGAAGTCTTTGACGATGAAGTCTCGGCTCGAGAAGGTCTCTAAGGTGAAGTCCGGCCCCTTGTTGAATATCGACCTGCGCATATCAGACTGGTAGTTCTGGTCCGGCATGTTTGCGACCGAGTCCAGACATGGAGGAGCGGCGAGGGACGGACGGCGAGGACTCGTAAAGCTGCGGCAGGCACCCTCATATATCACATATCAGCATCAGCGCTGTCGTCTTCAAAGCAAATTGAGCCGTCGTTATCGAATGTGCTGGTGGTCTCCGGCGTCCCTTGAGGAGTTGTAGATGTTTGGTGTCGAAGTCGTTAGTCACTAGCCACACCACCACTAACTACTAGTTTAAGGCAGCTTAGCCACGCACCTCTACGTCAGAGTCGAACTTTTGAAGATCAACACATATTATTTATTTATTTACTCCCTGCTTTTTGGCTGCTGTCTGGCATCCTGTTTGGCACGACAGCAGATGGTATATCCATATAGAATGCCGTCTCGTCGCTATTGACAGCCTTAACACTCCCTTCCAGCGCCGCTCGCTCGCCCGTCCTTCTTTCCCGCCCGCAAGAGGCGCAAACCGTGAACCGAATAACCAGATAATCATTGATAATTCAGATAATCCAGCTATGGCGTACGTGAAAGATGCCCCGGGCCTGCGAAGACAGCTCGAGAGTCTTCCGGCGGCAGAGCGCGAGGCCGCTGTGAAACCGTTCCTGATGCCGCCGCGAGTCCGCAAGTCCTCTGTCCGGGGCCGCAAGGCCAGCTCGAAGCCCGTCCGGCGGTTCCTGCGGTCGAAGCTCTACTATCTCCTCTATTTCCTCATACACATCGTCTTCAGCATCTACTCGCGGATACGCCAGAGCTACCATGCGGTCGTGGACCGGGTGCTTGCGATTCTGTATTATCACCATCGGACGCCCGAGCTGATCCGCAAGGATGTCAGGGGATTGGACAGGTTGCCGGAGCATCTCAGCGTAGTGCTGACTCTCAGAAGAGAGGAAGATGCCCTCGAGACACTCATGGACGAGGTTGCTGAGCTGACGGCCTGGAGTTCGTGTGCCGGGATACCTGCGTTGAGCATCTACGAGAAGACAGGTTCGAACTAGGCCACATATCAAACAAAACGAACCTTAGATATACTGACAGTATATATAGGGATCCTGAAATCACATATTCCAGCTCTACACCGGATTATCACTAGCAAACTTGACACCTACTACGGGCCTCCATCCCATCAACCCTCCCTAGGCGTATTTGCGCCTCATCATCCACTCTATGCTCCTAAACTCGTCCCTCAAGCATCAAAATCCAACATCGAGAACATAACTGTCCTCCTCCTTTCGAGTACAGATGGACGGGAAACCCTTGTCGACCTCACCAAGACCCTGGCGGAAATGGCACAGCATGGAAAGGTCTCACCGCAGGATATCGGTATCAAGCTGATCGATGCAGAACTTGCTGAGATGATGACCATCCCTGCATCCTCACCACAGGACCCTGGCAGCGAGACCAATGGCACTGATTCCCCTTCTGGCAGCCTCCCAACCCCATTGATCAAGGCAGAGCCTGATCTCATCCTTATCTTTGGGCCTTATGTCAAGCTGGATGGGTACCCACCCTGGCAGATCCGATTATCAGAGATATTCTGCACCGGAGACCACACTACTGGCATTGCCGGTGAGGTTGAAGCTGTAGAATATCAAAGATTCATAAAGGGGCTGTGGAAGTACGCCAGAGCCGAGATGAGGTTCGGACGATAGAGCGTCGCTTTCTCTCTTTGCTTCATGATACTCCCCCTTAGAGGCGTTGATGTTGCTACCTATACATAATACTATACACCTGTATCCTTTAAAATTATTCATAAAATTTACTATTTTTAATCAATGAATATCTGCCAGAAATGTATTGCACCCGAATGGATATATTTGACTTGACGTCTTCTATGAAAGAGCCAACTCAGAATAAAAATATGCTAGAAAAAAAAAGCCCAGATATGAAAAGAACAAGAGAATAATGCTACCAACCATCTACCCATGCTCAACGCAAATGAGGCAGCGAACAACTTCCTCTCCGGTCTCAAGGATGCCCTCCACAGCACAGGAGGAGCATATCCTCCGCCCAGGATATTCCCCCTGTTCAAATTTCTTCCTGAAACTTTCACTGTCTGTATGGTTCTCTCGTTCTCGACAGTAAACGTCGTCACACTCTCTTAAGCAGACAAAACATGCTCTCCTGCTGCATATTTCGCAATCTGCGTAGGCGTCCAGCGCCGTCCGTGTCGTAGGGCGTCGATGACAAATGTGACATGGCGCAAGCGTCTGTTTATCCCCTGTAGCTGCTCTGTTCGGTGCAGAACCAGTCTGTTGACGAACTTCCGGCATTGATCTATCATCTTCACCTTCGGGTATATTGTATCCATGAATGTCTCTAGGGGAATCGCCTGCGTTCTTCATAATATAATCGTCCGACGTAGCATTTGTAGGGAAGTATTGGGCACTATCCTGAGTATATTGAGGACTCCCATTTGCCTGTGCCGTTCGAGAGTAGAGTATAACAGGCTGCGAAGGCTTAGACTGCACGGTCTTCTGTTCCAGTCGTCTTTTCTTCAAAGGTGATATCAAGGGTCTTATGCGTGGTTTGGATGGAGGTGAGATCAGGTCCGCTCGAGAGCAAACAGGCCCGACTGAGGAGGGTTCAACCCTTGACTGAAGACATGAGGGGGTCTGTATCGAAGGTCTAAAGCCGTTTAAACAGTCAGTTATCTGGTCTGCCAAAGGAGCAGAGTTTTGAAAGAGCCCTTTTACAACTGCCTTGAAGAGAGACTTACGAAGGCACCACGGTGGTTTCCTGCCTGGATTCTGCATCCCTCTTCCGCTTCTTTAGCATCATCATGCCCATGATATTCGAGCTAGCCTGTGAAGCTGGTGGCTCCCAGTTGATTGCTCCTGGCATTGGGGCGAGGAGGTTGGTGGTCAAGCAGTGAAAAAAAAAAGAACACAAACAGAAAAACAAGTGAGAGTTGCAGAATAATCAAAGGAGCGGAATATATAATGATGCAGCTAGCAAGCAGCCATATATATAAAAGCCATTAGCTGGCCATTAGCCATGTCCAGGACGTCCTGTCTCTGGTCTGTGGTCTGATGATGGCTGTTGTTGTTGTCCGGTCAGCCAGGCTATTTATATGTCTTGACCTCCAACTCTCTTTTGCTGCCTGAGACTTATTAGCTTTGATCACCACCCCCTATTATCCGGTTAATGCACCATGTACCACTCCTATAACCATTCTCTCTTTATCTTGAAGATATATGCCCCAAAGGTTGATGTTGCTCTTTATCACAATCAACTTTGTCTATTTAGCTATGCAATTCCACCAAGGTAGTTATCATATCAGTTATAGCAGTTTCGGTTGGTACCTGACTATTTATATGGTCTATTTATCTGTGGCCTTAGATATATATAAATAAATAGATAGTCTCTGGGGGGAAGTGAACTGATCTCCACGGAGGAAGCAAAGAAATATATGAAATAATAACGTGATGGTTCATTTTGATAATCAGTATACAGCTGGGATCATAAATATAGGTAGAAACCAGAAGGAACCTGGAGAAACATCTGGCCAAGCAAATGCAAGCTCTTGGTAGACTGATGTGATCTCAGCGTACCAGAATTACCAGAGGAATTACCTTCTAGAAGCCTGTAGTCAAAGGCAAAGAAGCAAAAGATGCGCTCGCAGATGCTACGCATTTCAGCAGAAACGGAAAAAAGCGAGAGAAAAAGCAGCATTCTTGCCCGAGGAAGTAAAACGCCGGCGCCTTCCAACCCCCTCCAAAAAGCTCCGGGGAATAAAAGGACAAACCAAGTGCTAAGACAGTTTTTGAGAAGGAAACGAGAGCATTCCGGTCTGCAGTGTTTATTGACGCCATGACTTTCCACAAGCAAGACATGTGCAGAAGAGTGTCATCGGTTCGTCAGCACTGCGTGTCTGCGCCTCGGTGTATGTAACTTTTCTCTGGCCACATTTGCCGCACTGTAAGCTCTTACTGATGCTTCGCTCGGGCTGTCCAACCATGGCCTTGTCCATGTTCTCCTTTTGGATCTTGCGGTCTTCCTCTCTTCGTTCATCGGATTTGAGCTCTTCATGTGTCATGTTAACGAACCGCTCGGGCGTGACTTCGTTTGTGAGAACGCGAGTCCGGAGGCTGAGATTCGATGTGTTCTTCAGGTTCTGGAATAAACTTCGCATCTTGGTGCGATACACTTCCTTGCTCTCAGGCCCAAAGGCCTTGAACGCCGCAGCTTCGACTTCGGCTGCCTTTCGCAGGACTGCCTGGGAGGATTCCGTAGAGCCGAGGCAGAGGCCATCGTACATCAAACCGATGCAGCTATCGCGTGCCTTGACACCGGTAACCGAAGTATTAACCTGGTCAGCTTTCCAGTTGCGCTTGTCTGGCGGTACATTTGAGCTTTGCGCCTTATCGTTCGTCGCCGATGCAGGAGTGCCGGTTCCGTTGGGAGTAGGCTTGGGGGAATCGCTTGAGCCAGGAGACGCAGTTTTCTTCTGCTTGTTGACCTCTGCACGCCATTTTGAAACTATCTCGCTGGAAAGCCGGGCAACATCTGGTGATTTGTGCTGTTTGAGCCTGTTGACGATGATACCGATTTTTGTTGACCGCAAAAGGTCCTCGGTAGGTTGGATTCCTTTCTGAAGCTCCTTCAGCAGCGAAACTATCGTGGCACTCGATTCTCCAGAAGCAGTGGCTTTGGTCAAAGCTTTTGACTTCAGCTCGATCTCTTTCGCATCCATCTTTTCGTCCCTATCCTCCAACCACTAAGACTGTATTTAATGTTGGCAACGCGCAAAAGGTACGGGAATAGGGTAGGGCAGAGGCAGAAACGACGTGACCTATATAGCTTTGAAATATGTCAGTTTGAGCCTTCTAATGAAAATAAAGGATGTAGAGAGAAAAGTGGCAGCTAGTAGTGAAGTGCTCCAAAAAGAGGCATAAGTCAATGGGCAGCCCCTTAAGAGGAATAGGCAATAGGCATTGCTCCTGAATTGTAGAGGCCAATACACATGCGCACCAATGCCAAAGTGAGGTAAAACTAACTAGCCCAAACATAGCAACCAGCTGATAATAGATACAAAGATGTATCTCACACAAGAAAGGGCTACACCACCGGCATCTTTAGCGGGGGGCAGGAGGAATGCGACAGGCAGGCTTCTCACATCCCCGGAGCCGAGCTCTTTGCAACAAACTCACCACTAATAGCAGGTGTCCGTACTATGGATCCAAACACTGACTTCTGGAGACTACCGGCGTTGAAGTATGCGACGTGCGAATCGAGGGCGGCTGCGAAACTGCTGTTGATGTCCCAAAGATGCGAACGATCTGGTCAAGTTTCCAGAAAAACGCCGTTAAGGACGACCAGATTATGTAAGCGAGACTTAGGCTTGGCTGCTCTTGTGACCACAAACCCTAAGCGGCAGATTTGCGGGCTTGCATCGACTGGATATCTGCGAGCCGCAGAGATGCGGATATGGATATATTTCTTTTCTGCGAGTTTATATCTGGGCTGTTGAATATATCCTACTGTGTAACCAGGGTGGTGGCCAATATCAAGAAAAAGAGTCAATCTCCCCAGAAGCAGGCTGATATCACAACGCTAACCAGTTTTCAGACGTTTTGCCACCTTTTTGCAAGTGAATACTTTCGATTTAGCCCATGAAATAGATGTTGTTAATATCATAGGAATTTCTCCAGTCTTTATTTGTAGAAATGTGGAGTTGTGTCTCCAGCCAGGTACACTCGACATCGCAGAGAGACATACCATAATGTACGGAGTATATAACAAACCAACGATAAAGTGATCCCCCGACAAGAGGAGTCTATCTCTGACAAGAAATCTCTTGAAACTCGAGAGAACTGGGGGATCTTCAAGTAGTTGAATCCTCAAACGTGCTATAATTAATATGCGGTCATGGCTTGGCACTGGGGACGGACCATGTCTTGGCAACCCTAATAAAACGTCGAGCAAAGTCTGATTCAACATCAACAACAGATCAAACGAATACCCGCGATACCAGCCATGAGGTTTTGACGCTGCATGGCTCAGAGATTGCTTCTTAATTGTGTGAAGTATTATGTTGTTATCTATTAAAGTTGTTGTCAGCCATAGGACGCGCTTTCCCAACCCATAAGCCTCGTGAATCGGTTACCATGGATACCTAACCAGGAGTGATGCGATGCGCGCCACCCGGCCAATACCATCATTGATCGCATCATACATACCCTCTAGAAGTGCATCGAACCTCAAAGCACTTTACCACGACACCCTATACCTCACGGCCATAATACCTTATTGCTCTGGAGCACTAGCATGACCTCTCGACAATATCAGTATACCAACACCAAGGTCACATCCAAGTGTAGATATTGTTGAGAGTAAATACAGCTATAGATACACGGCCTATGTATAACGATTAGATACCTCGTTAAAGTAGATATAACAACTGATATTCGTATACCCTTACTCGCTAATACCCAAACCTATAGTTATAGAGGACGGATTCCTGTCCTGACTATGTGTATCTTTTGTGGCGATAACTGCAGAAAGTAAGTGCTAAAAAGAAAGAAAGCAGAAAAAACATGCAAGACAACCTGCAGGATGGAAAGGGAAAGCCATGGCCGAAGGAAAAACACAAGATATCCAGCTACATGCAAGAAACTCAGAGACGATGGCCACCGCTGCTTATACCACACAGTCAACAAGGGAGAACAAGTGGAATGTCGAATGTGGCGTGTGCTGCGTTGGAAAAGCAGAAGGAGGGAGGGAAAAAAAGAAGTCCTGGCTGGTATTCGAACCAACGGCAAAAAAAAGTGAGGAGCTAGGTGACGAGCGCTATCCAGCTCAAGGCTGGAGTGACCTGACTACGCCATCCTGCCCCTCTTGAGGAAATATCGGCCCTAACTTACCTTATATCCCCCCTCAGGCTGACTAAACGGCCAAAAAAATAGGGAGTTCCCAGCCAGACTCGAACCTGCAGCCTCGAAAAAAAATGGGTGAGGAAGGTGTGGTGAGCGCTATCCGGCCGGCCCGGAGTGTCCTGACTGCACCAAATGGACTTCCTCGAGGGTTGACTGCACGGAACTTGGTTGAAAAGGGCCCCCCTCGAGGCAGGTAGGCAGGCAGGTGCCTCTTTGTTGTGGCTGCACACAACATAGCAGCAGTTTCTTCTAAGACACAGCATACAGTTTTTATTATCCTTTGGAGACATGTCTATCAAACATATATTCTACTTTGAAGGAGATATTATTTTCTTTCTCTTCTACCTATAGCTGTGTATGGTCGCAGAAATAAACTTATATTGCTTTAGACTACCTGAAATATTTGATCCTTTACGTTTCTATCAACAGCCAAATTCACTATTTGATCCCATGTCTATGTTGATACTGCTTGATATCATCTTTGTTACCTTTGTGAACCTTGTTGGATGATATCTACTCTCCTTTGGTTCACTCTAGTGTGTCTCTTGCTAACAAAAGGGGTTTATATTAGGGGTGTTATGGTCTCTCCTATCCCATCTGCGGTGGATATAAGAATCAGCTATATGAAGAGGCCCATCTACCTATTTGGCAGGACTATCGACCACCTTCTCCCTAATCATAAATGCATTACACTCTTTACCGACTTCTCAGATTCATATTATCCCAGGAATGGCGAAGAACCATGAGGAACTTGATCAGTATGGCAGCATGTCGCTGGATCCACCTGCTAGTCCACAATACTATGAGGGTGGTCGAGGCAGCGAAGGCATTGAAGAGAGAGACAGCATAATGGAAGAAAGCGACTCGGACACGATTGGCAGGTCTGCCCTTGAAGTACGTATCCTTCTCCATGTCTACAGGCCTGTTTTGCAACAGCCTAATGCAACTTAGGATGAGGGAGAAAACGAGTCTGGAGTAGTCGACGGATGGAGTGAAGACGCGAAAAACGCGTTGGCAGTGCAATACAGAAGGTAAGGATGTTATGCACTCTATAATGACCAACGTCACCATCTAATCGATAACCGAGTACAGACATAAGAAAGAATTCTAGGAAAAGATCGGAGAATTGCTAGACATCTCGTGGCGCGAAGCAGAAGCAATGCACTTCAGACTAGGCGCGGAAGAGCTCTCATCTAGAGCCGGCGAGACACCACCATATCCCACTGTCAACGACATGATAACGGATGTTCAAAAGGGCATAGACCACCTGTCCGGTCTACTTCACCTCGTCACGGACGAGCCTCACGAAGAACTGACCTACTCCCGCTTACTGCATGCACTGGTCAGAGTATCGACCAGCGCTGCCGCTGTGACAAAACACATAGATGAAAACTTGGGCACCTGGAAGGCTAAAGACATTGCTTCGATGGACGATGAGGTTGAACGTTATGAACTAGTGCCGGGTGTTATTAACGTCACCATGACGGAAGGGAATGATCATTATGTGCTAGTGCCGGAGACTACGCGAATGACGCTTGAAATCCGAAAATGAGCTCTTAGTGAGATCCAATCACTGAGTGCTGTTGAGACAAAAGGGGGAATAGGGATGAACTAACTACGCCTCTGCCATTCGGACGGGACGGGATAAAAGAATGGCTAACTAGCTGGGGAATTGGAATTCTAGAAGACAAGAAGAAGGCCGGGTGGCGCCAGGCTACTGCTACTCCATGGAAATCAGTTTCTTTCACCCTTTTCTGTACCAGTAGCTCGTTGACTAGAATAAAGAGCTGGATAAGGGGCGTTTTCTCGACCAGGGATTATGGCTGTAGACAATCCCTGCGACGACCAACCACTAGCCAGCTACGATGATTATCATCGCAGCCTCACGCCAACATCAAGTAACAAACCAACACCTGCGTAGGGACTGAACCACCTCGTATATACCCAACAATGATACCTCCACAGCAGCGGTTCTTTGTCAATGAAGGAATGTGTTCTCCTGTTCCAACAGGACCTTGCACTTGGGAAGTGATCGACTGGGACAGACGTCGTTGGCTGCGGATCCACGGACCAAAAAACGCATTTCCCGAGGATGACTACATTGAGGAATTTGCAGCCCGGTATGCTGACCAGGTGGGCGAGGATGAGCAGACGCTGACATCCAACGAGCACCGAGAGCTCATCGGTGTCTCCTCGGACGATCCCACTTGGGAAATCAGGTATCCCCATTATGTCGGGCCACTGGATGAAGAGACGGTTATTTTCCGGTCAAACCTGAAAGAAGTCGAAAGACTTGATGTCGCCACGGATCTAGTCGAGGACTCTCAAACAGATGGCGTAACGAAACAACTTGTCTTCAAGTATACCCTCATTCAGACTCGCGTCGAAAACGTTTGGCAAGAACTGCATATCCTCAAAGCATTACAGGGTAACAAGCGATTTGTGCCCTTCTACCGTATAGTGCTGGATGAAGTAACGCATAACATCCTGGGATTTACCACGAAGTACATACCTGGTGGCACTCTCGAGCAGTATCGCGGCACATTCTACTTCCGCTGGCTCAAACAGCTTACGGATGCCGTGGATGAGCTGAACCTCCGCTACGGGCTGATGCACCAGGACCTGGCGCCCAGGAACATCCTGATAGATCCCACCACTCAAGAGCTGCTGGTGTTCGATTTCGACAGATCAGGACAGATAGGAGGGAAAGGCGCTTCCCGGGGATGCAACGACGTTGACGCATTGGTGTTTACTATCTACGAGACCCTGACGTTGGACGAGAGTTTCCGAGAGGGGCTGCCCTGGGAACAAGATGTAAGCAAGGTTGAAAACATGAAGAAGTGGGAATTGAAGCTGCCATTGGAAGACGGGGTGGATATCGCTGTCTACCGTGATTTTCTGGCGAGGTGGGCAGATGAGCGCCGCACAACACGGACGATTAAGCATTTCTCTGAGGCTAGTGAGCCCCTTACTTGGCCTGAGTATGGCAAGTTAGAGATGATTGAGGTTCCTGCGGACGAGTACGGGGTCCGTATGAGCCTTCGTCGCAAGAGAAAGCAGGTCGAGGGTGCTGGTGGGTATGTCACGCGGTGGGAGAGGGCGGCGCAGGAGGCCATAAAGGGGTATAACTAGCTACTTGTATGGGTGTGAAAGTCTTCGAAGAGCCCAATTGAGGAGTAATTCCATTCCTTCTATCATCATAGCCTGAGTGCTCCTATAGCGGAGGACCCCGTAGACGGAGTTACGTACGTCACCGTCCGGACAAGCTGCAAGCTAGTGGAAGTGGAAGTCCAAGTGGCAGCAGGTTGAAGAAAGATGAAACACATGGCGCCCCCCCGCCCATTTGCCCAGTCGGGGCTGGTCTGCATGCAAGTCAATGAGGAAAATATGCTCTGGCTTCATAACTGGCATGCGCTATACCCCAGTTCTGCACCGTAAGCAAGCATCATGCATAACTTGGCGATCAACCGTCGTCTTGCCCCCAAAGCCAAAGCCACCACTTACTCAGGCCGCTGCATAATATCAAGAAGTTGACAAGTATCGGCCGATGGGCAAATAATGCGTCCGATGCTGCATCTGAATCCGCATCTGCATCTGCATGTTCCCTTTGTCTCTCTCTTCAATAGCCGGGTTGCCGGCCCCCCTGACTCACAGTCGCGCATGGCTGGTCCGTTTGCCTAAACCGGCGCACCCGTCCATGCAGACGAAGGCAGATCGCCGTAGCTTAGGTAGCTAGCTGGCTGACAAGCTCAGCTCAGCACTGCCCTAGCTATTCAGCCTAACGCCCGGCACCAGCAGTGTGGTCACCGATCCGGTCCGGTCGAAGGGAGATGGCAGTAGGGCCGCGTGTGGAGATTTGCATCCATAGGGTATACTAGGCGAGAGGAAAGTAGAGTAAGGTAAAAAAGCAGCTCCTACTCTGAAACACATCTGGGGCGCGCTGCATATCAAGGTATAGCGAGGCGGCTATGCAGGCCCCAACTATGGGGACAGGAAGGGGGAAATGAGCAAATCGCAATCCCTAGCTATAGCTGTCAAGATCCATGGCTATAGAACCGGAGGCGAGAAGAGCCACCCACGCAGCGTCGGCGCCGGCGTTTCTGCAGCTGCAGAGCCACTGATGAGGGAAATAGGATAGAAAGATATCCGCTTTTTTTCTTTCTAGAAGAATACTGCGCAGATAGGGGCTCATGGCGTGTGGGATGTCCGATGTGATTGATGGGTTTGGCCGGTTGGTGGACCAGCGAATATACAGATGATAGTGAGAGATGATAGCGACAGATGATAACGACAGATGACACGGAACGGCCAACTCCTAGCAACTGGTGGCCTCTTCGTACAGCCGTGGCCTCCGATATCGATGTTGGCTGATATCTCTGTAACTATGTATCTCTGTGCCTGTCTGAAGGCCAGCTAGCGAGTTGCCCCGGCTACCTGCAGACAGGGATTAAGCGACTAGCTCGCTATCAAATCAATAAAGCTACCGCGGCCAGCAATATTGGGTGGTTATTCCAATATGTGAGCTGTGCAGTGACATCGTGGAACCAACACGACAGGAGCTGGACTATTGGCATTTTACCGGCAGACAGGACGAGCAAAGCAGATCTATCCCATGGCGAATTATCGCTCGCTCGCTCGCTCGCTCTCCAGGGCCGGATGCGGCGGCCCAGCCCTATCTCATACATGTTGGTTCTTCTTTGTGCTTTGATCTCTCCCCCTTTTTTCGTACCTTGAGATCAGAATTTTTTTGCATCGAGATGATGCCATGCGAAGGCGAAGGTGAGCGAGTGTGCCAGCCAAACGGAAGGGAACCTGCATGTGTTGCATGGCATGTTTTTTTCTTTGAAGGTAAGATCGTGGTGGCAGACATGTGGTTCTGACATGTTGGATGTCAAAATCTGCAAGCCGGATTCTCGCAGGAAAGAAAAAAAGGTACGATGTATCCGTATCTGCTCTCTGACAGGCTGAGCAAACGAGGAGGGCATCCAATCACCCGCCTTGCCAGTGTCACTGGTCAGGGGGGCCCGAGATTCGCATCATTTGCACATCAAGGCCAACGAAGACCGCTAGATAGAGAGGATACCCAGCTCGAGTCTTGGAGTCAAAGTCCGAGCTAGAGCCAGCCAGTGCGAGACCAGTGGAAGCGATGGAGTTAGTCGGGTTTTTGTCTACGGCGGTCAATTCTAATCCCGACTCAACGGGCGAAGGAAGATGCGGTGATGGCTTGCGGCTGAGGGGGAGGGTCTCTGGGGTGCAGTGCAGTGCAGTGCAGTGCAGTTCGAGCCAGGCCTGTCCAAAGAGATAACATCCAAAAAGAGGAAGATGAAACTGGACAAGGCGAGTTCAAACAAGAGGAGTGTTGCACAGGGGGGAGTATCTACGTCTGTCTGCGCCGCCACAAGTTGCGGTCTACTTCATACGCCATACATGTGAGATGATCCCGACTCGTGGCTGCGGGCACACCGTTCAGCGATGGGGGATTACGGCTGGACTGAACGAACGCTCAGGCGTGAACCTTCACTCGGCGCCAGACTGGTTGGAGGCTTGAAGGAGGATCAAAGAGGAAGAAGATCGTCCGCCCATCAGCGCGTCCGAAACGGAGGAGTTCGACGGCGGACGCCATGGCGGACCATTTTAGGCTTTCCAACCTGGAGTTATAGAAGTATGGAGAGTATGGAGTTTGGCCCTCGCTCTAGCCACCTGCTGGCTGGCGGCAGCAGTGTCTAGGTTCAGGTAAATGATCAGAGCCCCAGGGAGGAGGGAGCGGGATGGATTTGCCTCCCCCAGAAAGTCAAGAGGACTGGACTCTCAAGCCAATTCGGGGCCAAAGTGCTATGGATATGCTATTAATATACAGGGGGGAGGCGAGATGTCTACCAAGTCAACGGTCTGGTCTACGGTTAACAGTCTGGTTTATGGTTGACGGGTCTATCTAGGTCAAGAACTGGCCATTTCTCAACTGGAACCATGGAATCGACTGACGAAAGAAGACATTGCTTCAAGCGTAACTGTAACTGTAACCATACTTACTGTGGTTAATAGCCGTCGACAGGTCGCAGTCGAATGGAAAAATCCTATCTGAAACCTTGCTGGTAGGACGAAGCAGGTACAGCGTAACGATAGAAGTATGTTGTATGTAGATAGACGTAGATAAGGGGGTGTTCGTGAGATGTTACCATCGATCAATATTGCTACCCCAGGGGGGAATGTAAGATCATATATGATATGATATGCCCTACCCAAGCTTGTTCTTGTTCCATGCAAGTGAGATGCGATGCGATTGCGATGAGATTGCGATGAGATGCAGATGTACTAGATGCGATCATCCCGTCGTCTCCTCCCCCCCTTTGAGGCCGAACCGAAGCGAATATGGTGATTCTGATATGATACATCCAGCGAGCCAACCCGCCCGCCACGACAGCCAATAACGCTGCGTCGGCTGGGCCGAGAAACCCACCGGCCTGACTGATCGATAGGCAGGAAAGTCACTTACTTACTTCTGCTATCTTGTTGCTTTTCTTCTTCTTCTTTGGCCTGGTGGTTTTATCCCGATGAACTAGCGATCACACCCATGCGGAGATCCCCCACCGGTCGAGGTATGTATCAGCATCGAAGTAAAAGCAACTACTCTGTACTCTGGACATTGGTAACAGAGTAACAGAGCAGTGTTATTCATCGATGGGGGCCAGATGCCTAAGCTCGTTACAGTTGTTGCTGGGCGGTTAGTCACTGCAGCCAGCAGCCCCCCCTTAGGCAGCGTACAGGCAGCCAGCACATCCATCCAGCACGGCGCGTAGAGAGTACATGGGGAGAGAGTAACGAACCAACGAGGAGCGGCATGACGAGTTCATGGTTCCTTTTTCTCTGGCTGGGTATTGCTTTTTGGCTTTGGCTGCTCTGCTTTGCTTTTTTGTCTGGCCTGGGAATAATAAGTTAACGTTTTCAGGGGTGTTCAGGCATGAGTGTGCTACGTGGGAGTCGCACAGGCGTAGATATCTACAACCGCCTCGACATGAAGCAGTCTAAGAAGAAGGGAGAGGGAGAGGAAGGGAGGGAGAGGGGATGCAAGGGGCGTTCCGGGCTAGAGGCAGGACTGCCAACGGATATTGCAGTGTCTGGAGATGAAACAGAGAGAGAGCTCTTATTGAGATTGATATAGCCAGACTGATGAAAGAGATATCGAGAGAGCCGTTGAGGACTGGGGCTGGTAACCTCACGCTCGGAACCGCCTGGGGCTCGTATCTGATGCCCTGTCCCTGTCCCTGTCCTTAACAAGTGCATTCTATCTATCTCTTTTTGAGATGCAGTCCACAGTTCAGAGTATTCTACTTATGTAGATATGCCATGCATGGTCAGCAAGCAGAGACCCAAAAAACGAGGACTCCATAAGAGTATATACACGAACTCGAGGAGAACGAAGAACAAAAAGAGAAGAGGAAGAGAAGAGAAAGAAGACAAAGTAGAAGAAAAAAGCAAGCATTCGACGGCGTCCATCCTCCACGGCTCGTCCGAACCAGTCATGGCCAACCGTATCCAGTTATGGAGTGACTTTTTCTGTAGTTATCTCTCTCTCTCTCTCTCTAGTAATAATCCTTCTTCTACCCAACTCTATCTGACTGACTCTACCTCTATCCATAACTCATTCAAGTGAGAATCCTCTAGCTCTCCATGGTAACTGCTCGAGCCCGGCGCTTGGGCAGACCATCCCAGTTTACGCTTCAGGGACGAGCAGGAGGCGAAAAAGCAAAGGGCCGAATCCTTAGCGAGAGTACACCTGAATACTCACTCACTTACTTAGTTATGTACACTGGCTGCACTTAAGAACATGTGTAATGCATGATGAAAAAGCAAGCTGGCTGTATGCCCATGACTACGGCTGCAACTTGGCAGGGTCAGGGGCTGGATGGAGGCCCAGCTCATCCACGCGGAGAGAAGAAGAAGACAACGACGATGAAGAAGAAGAAGAGTAACTAGTAGTAACTCGGAGTATCCTAACTTGCAAAAGAAAAGGCAGAAGAAGCAACGAGAGGGCGAAAAGAATAG